CAATCGAGAGTGCGTATCAACAAAGTGCTGCTCGCATTGCGATTAAGCGAGACTCATGGTTGACGCGGGGGAAGATGAGACTTCTTCCTGAACACAGAATTTCGTTAGAGCTTTATCAACAGTTTCGTTAGAGATGGCATGGCAAATTTTGCGAGGATCGACCTTGCTCGGGCTGGAAGTCGCGCCTAGAACTGCCCAACCGAATCTGGTGTGGAAAGCTATAGGTTCTGAGTCGCCTCCCATAACAAGGCGAGAGGACTTGCTAACTCTTCTAAAATTATCAGCACCAATGAGAATGTTATTGTGATCTGGAGTGAGAAAGTCAGGATCCGCTAACTTAAGATATCTGAGATGAGGCCAATCTTGCTCTAATATTACAGACGACGGCAACTGAGATGTGATTTTTGGCAAAATGAATGCCTTAAGATGAACCTGAGATGACGAGTATGTCGATTGGAGGACCAAGGACACTTGATCTTGGGTCGCTCCTGGAGATGTACTACCCACACCCTGGATAGATATGTTTCCTGGAGAACAGCTAAGCTTTAGCTTAGCTATGATTTTAGAGGATACTAATGTCAACTCTGATCCAGGATCAATGAGAAGACGTACTAATTTAGGCGATCCATTTGAAGAAATGGCAAAGGCTTTACAAGTAGCTAAGAGTACTGGAGCTCGAGAGCACGTTGAAAGCGATGGATTAKACGAACGATCGATGTCGGAGATAGGTGACGAGAATCTGACTCGTTTGGTCGTCTGAGAGGACCTTGAGGAAGATGAGATGGTCGATTTTAGGATGGATCTGAGAGGACAGTGTGGATAATGAGATGTCCTACCTACTTCTCACTCTGAGGACGCCTTTTTTGAAGAGTTCTGAGAAGAACTCATCTTGGTAGGTGTGGACTTAGGAGGAGATGATCGAGTGGAAGATGCCTTGTGAGAGGAGCCATGAACTGAAGCCTTCGGTTTGGAGAGAGGTCTGGGAGTCGATGTACCGGAAGTGGATGATGATGACTTCGGACTAGAGGATCGGCGATAAGATGACTTTTTGGGAGATTTACGACGATCCTCTCTCGGTGACTCATTCGACGATACCCGTGAGCCCTGCGAGGACGAGACTCTCTGAGATGTCTGTGTTGTCTCTGAAAGAGAGCTTGAAGTTCTTGAGATTGGCGGCGATGACCATAATATTGGATGAGATGTCTTTGACATAGGTGGAGATGTCCTAGACGATGGAGGAGGAGATGTCCTAGA